TGAGTTCTAAAAATCCTGTTTTAAATTCTGAAATACTGGCTAGAATCCCAACTAGAGTAAACCTGTTGATTCAGTTGTTGAATGGTGAGTCAACACATTAGTCTATTTGATGTAACATGTTTAGTCTGGTTAGGACTGATAAGTGGATTTAGACCCCTAGATTTATCTATTTTTTAGTTGTTTGAGAGCCAATGTGGTATAGTGGTTTCAGTGTGGGACTTGGGCTTCAGGAGATCAAGGTTTGAATCCTTGCTTAGTCTTGGAATCCCACTGGGTGACCATGGACAAGTCACACACTCTCAGCTCTAGAAGAAAGTCATAACAAACCTCCTCTGAGTAAATTGGGCCAAGAAAACCCTAGGATAGGATCACTTGACAGCACACAACCACAGCAAAAAACCAAAAAACAACCCCCCTCCATGAACACATATTTATGTATTTCTTTATTTACTCCTTCCCTCATTTGTCAGCTGTTCCAGTTAATATGATTGAGTGGAGCTACCCTTTTGAATTTCATTCAGTCCAAGTTGATAATGGAGGTAAAACAGCTCAGTTCTGACACCTTTCCATTTTAGGATGAAGCAGAGGCACATGCACCCTGGAGGTCACATGTATAGCAATGGGGAATTCTGTGACTGAAATTCTAGCATTGGTGGTGCTCCTATGAATGTCAGGAGAGCTTGGAAAGTTACTTTTAGGATTCATGAATATAATGAGGAATCACTACAGAATCTGGATATGTTTAGCATAGGGAAGAGAAGACTGAGATGACAACCATTTTTAAATATCTGAAGGGATGTCATGCAGAAGATGGAACAAGCTTTTTTTTTTTTTTTGCTGCTCCAAAGTCTTGATTCAAATTCAGATTACAAGGAAATACATTCCATCTAAACATTGGGAACCATTTCTTGGTTATAGAGCTATTTGACACTGAAGTGGCCTGGTTCTGAGCATGGTGGATTCTCTTTCCACAGGGGTGTTTTAACAGAGGTTAGAAAGGCACTGTCAAGACTTCTTTAGGCTGCATCTGCACTGCAGACACAATGCAGTTTGACACCACTTTAACTACCATGGCTTAATGCCATGGAATTCTGGGATTTGTAGTTTTGTAAGATATTTAGCCTTCTTTGTTAGAGAGTTCTGGTGCCACAACAAACTACAAATTCCAGGATTCTGATAGGATGGAGCTATGGCAGTTAAAGTGGTGTCAAGCTGCATTATTTCTGAAGTGCAAATGCAGCCTTGGCTGTGTATTCCTGCATGACAGGGGATTGGACTAGATAAGATCTGTGGTCCCTTTTAGCTCTAAGATTCTAGGATTCTTTGATATGCTCTGGGTCATACATTTTTAACTTTCCATGATTTGACTATGGTGAGCAGCCAAAAGCTCTGGAATAGAACATTCTGGGGATGGGACAGAGTCAAGAAGAAGTAGCGTCAGATGCATTGACTCCAAAGGAACTGGAAGGTGCCAAGATTGTCTCCTGACCCACCAGTATGGAGCTGGAGTAATTAAACCCCACTTACTGAAAGACGTCTGGGGAAAATAAGAAGAAAATAAGGCAATGTAGTACTGGTGTGTGGGTGTGTGAATATGCCCCCACTTCTCATCTTAGAGCATGTCTGCAGGGCTTTGGAACTGACAGTGGAGTCACCACTTTACATTTTAGTAACCTTATTTAGGACTGTCCTGTAAATCAAGATGGACTGATAGGTTATGAAACAAGTATGGTTGCCATAGGGATGACCATGGCACAGTAATATTCCATTATAGCTGATACGTCACACCAGTGGTTTAGTGGTTGCATTAAAAACACCCAAGAACATCTAATAAACTTGTTCAGAGCCATAGAAAGAAGGGTAAAGGCCACTGACTAAGAATTTGCATACTCTTCAGTGAGGTACAAATTGCAAAGAAATAGGAGAACGTTATTTTTCAACTTATTTCCTTGTCTTCATTTTCTGTCTCTCACCTTTGCTCTTAGATGGCTTTAAAGGGGTATTGGAAAAAATTCTGGATGGCAAGGCTGTAAATGGCTTAGCAGTCTACAGGGCCATGAAGCTGTGGTGAATGACAAATGCTACATTTGTCTGGTTTGGTTTTTTGCTCAGTTGACACCAAAGCCACTGGTCTAAATCCAATGACCCTTCTCAGCAAGAGCTGAATCAGTAGTTGAATGGCAAGTGAACACTTGTTACACTTACTCTGCTTGGAACTGGCAATTACATTTAGGTCACTGAAGTGAGTAGGACAGATACCAATGATGGATATGGAGCATATAGTGGCCCAGATGCTACACTTTTGTGTCTATCAGCATGCACAGTTCCACATCTTCCCACTACTTAGCAGCTGTCAAGCCATCAAAACCATCAAGAGTTTTAGAAGAGAAGAAGTGGCTCTTTCCATAGGGTGGTGGCAGCTGTGGGATGAAAAGGTTCCATGGTGTGACCACAAATGAAAGAAAAGAAAAAGTGTGCATGATATAAATTGGTGGCAATTTCTTGGCTTACTAGTGTGGGGGGGATAGGGAGGAGAAGGGATTCAGACTATGGAGAAGCAGGTGGTCTCAGCTTGGGGGTGGGGAGAGAAAGAAATGAGGATGTGCTCTGAAATGGGGTTTGGCCATTTTTTCTTCCCTCATGAACCCAGAAAAGCTGGATCCTCATGGTGAAAATTGTCTCCCTCCACTCTCCCATCCCTACTAATAAGTGAAAGAAGCAAGGGCTGCTCCCAAGACTTGACAGCTATCAGACAATGGGAAGAGTATGGACAGAGATCAAGTGAAGGTGCATCTGCACTGTAGAAATAATGCAGTTTGACACCACTTTA